TCTCTCCAGTGGAGTTCTGTCCTAGGCTGCCCCCTAGGCTGCCGGTGTCTGTGTGCTCCCAGCGGAGGGCCTCGGGCCCCAGACAGTGTTTACAGAAAAAGTGGGCTGTGGAGAAGAGGCCCCTTGGCGCAGCCGCACTCCCCTGCGCGGGAAGCTGACTTTTTAGTGCCTGTCCCCCACCCCCACTTCAATAGACTCTGGTTCTGAGCTCCACTCTGACCCAGGAGTTTCCACCACTGTGGCCGCCTGCTGTAGAACAGTGCCCCCCCCCCCCGCCCCCAACCACTGCTCGTTAACCAGATTAACCAGTCTTCCGTCCACCCTCTGGGCCAGGCGACCTCTGTTTTATCTATCGGTACCATTTCCAGCTGTGTGCAGATGCAGACTAGGCCTACAGGAAGTCTCCTCAAGGGCAAACTTCGGAAAAGGAGTTGAAGAAAGGGGTTCAGAAAAGCTAGTCCAGAGAAGGGGTTGCACCAACTCATGCCTCCCTCAATACCTGAACCTACGTACAGAGCTCCCGGGTCTGTGGCTGGCTGCCATGGCCACCCTCGGTGAAGGGACTATGGCAAGCACGGCCCCGGATCACAGTATTAAAGTCCAGCAATCAAAAGCCCCCTTGGCTCACCTAATTAACATGCCCAATCAAAATTAAACACATCATCCTAATGAGGGCATTCCCCTGTTACCCTTATAACCCGCCTTTTGCCTTCGTCCACGTCTGTCTCCTCTCTATCCAGACAGTCCTTTGTTCCTGGGACAAATCCCCCTTCCCTCTCCTTTGCTCACTTCCCCTTCTCTCTCCATCTTTTTCTCTTGTTCCTGCCCTCTGTTCCTCTGGGGCTAATAAATCTCCTTTGTGCTGAGAACTTGGTCTTGGGGTGTCTTGAGCCAACTTTGAGGTTCCCTACACTCGGGTGTGTCCCTTCCTCACCGGACCATGAACCTTTCTAAGAGTGTCTTGTCTCTGGTTTACCAGTAAACTCATCAGCATTGCCTTCCACGAAGTTTGCCTTTTTAGATTTTGATTTATTCTTTGTTACTTTCACACATGTTTATAATGTATTTTCATCATACCCACCCCAACCCCCATCCTGCACTCCCCACAGGTACCCCAACATGCTCTCTCCCACTTTTTTCTTTTCCTTTTTTTCTTTTTTTTCTTTTGTAGCTAAGACCAGTTTGTTTACTTGATCTTGCTCAGGTAACAGCATTCCATAGTGCTCCTCCCTCTCCATAATGCTCCTCCCCTCCACAGTGCTCCTCCCACCCTCCACTCCTCCTCATCCATAGTGCTCCTCCCATCCTCCACTCCTCCTCATCCACAGTGCTCCTCCCATCCTCCACTCCTCCCCATTCATAGCGCTCCTCCCATCCTCCAGTTCTGCTTTCTGTCTGCCCCATCTTCCATGATGTTCCCTGGGCCGTGGGGTGGGGGTTGAAGCACATGCCCCATTCAGGGCTGAGCACTGGGTAGTCACTCAGCACTCCGGCCAGTTAGGAGTCTCTGCTGCCTGTGGCTGTGGCAGGCTCCGTTCAGCAGTGTTATAGTGGCTGGTGGGGCAAAGTTCTTTTCTGCAATTAAGTCAAAACCCATCTGTAACCAAGCAGAGCCCTACCCCCTCCAAGGCTCTAAGGGAACGAACTCCTTAGGCAGCTGGGGACAGTTCCAGCTCACTGTGTCATCTCAAAGGGTTAGACTCAGGCTGTGTGCTCTTAGAACAACATGGCACAGATGATGTCCCCAGCCTGTCACCCCCGGAGCACACGATGGCCACCTGCCCCTTAGAGGCTGGTGGGGAGACTCCCCACTCCCCGCACCCTACATGCTGTTGGGCACAATGTTTTTGAGTGGTCACGTGGAGGGGGCTTTCCATCGAAGCCAGGTCAGGTCATGCTGTGGGGATTTCTGCTGGGTTTCTGGCAGGTGGCTGGAGTAGGTTGCTCATGCAAGCCTTCTGGAAAATTAGGGAAATATCTTAGGTGGTTTTTATGTCCCCACAAGCAGGTGTGCAGCTTCTGAAGTGTCCAAGGAAGAATGAACCAAATAGCCCCAGAATGAGGCCCAGAAATACCTCGTTCCTGTAGCTTACCTCCCAGGTCCCAGCAGGGGCTGTCGAGAGGACCTCAAGGGGCTGGCGTTGCCATCCCCCAGCAAGTCCCCAAGGATTCGCACCTCTGCTTCTGCACCTTGTGACTTCTTGGGGCCACTGACAGTTTGTGCCATGATCAAGAGGTGCTCTGTCTTCTAGGGGTTGACCAGCTCCTGCTGCTCCAAGTGGCACCCCGGATATTCCCTCACCAGCTGTGTCCCAAGGCCCTTAGCACGGAGTGGAAAAGCCCCTGCAGGTGAGCTCAGAGCTCCACTAGCAGGCGACTTCCCCAGCACAGTTATAAACGTCTGGTCCTCAAACATGCCCTGGATGTTACCCTCCGGGACTCCACCCGAGTGCTGGCCTACACTTCAGCTCTGGCTGTGGGAACAGCATCGACCCCCATCCTGCCCGAGGCTGGGGACACGTCTTCCCTTCTTCCTAAAGAAAGCCAATCCCACCGTCTAGTTTGTGTCTCTCCCAGGGAGTCTTCATGCAAGTAGATATTAGAGTAGAAAACTCCCCGTATGTCTTTGAGGGGACTTCCCAGCCTCCTTTGATGGGCAGACAACTTCTGTAGCTCCCTATTGCCACATGGTGATGTGGAATCCAGCGTGGGAAACAGCGAAAAGCAGTTGTGATGTCACCTTCTGGGACAGGCAGCAGGGAAACGGGAGCCCTTTGGACCTGGGACCCTGCGCTTCTGGGCAGGGGGGCCGCTAGGTGGCAGCCGTGCACCGTGCCTGCGGGTTAAACCTGGTGAGGATCTGCTGCCCGGGGGAGGGGGGAGGGGTCCTGTCAGCGGGGACAGCTCCAGCTCCGAGAGCTGCCGGGAGGCAGTTCCCACCTGACTTCGTCATCTCTTCCCGACCCAAAGGGTTGACATGATTTACCCATTTTACAGATGTGAAAAGTTAGGCTTAGGAAGTCAGTTACCCGAGGAGCCACAGGTTCTGAGACCAGAGAGCCCAAATGAGGGGTCCCTCAATGCCTCCCCACCACAGGGGTACAGGCAGGCCTTGGGCATGGTGTGGGGTCATATGACCTCCCTGTCCCTGAGGCTCCTAGCATTTTCCTTTGTTAGCTGAGGAGGCCTCCGTCGCACCCTTGGTCCATTCTGGTTACCGACTTCGCGTCTGGCCCTCTGTTACGATGCCTTCTGGGAGCAAGCCAGCAAGCTTGGAGTTTTGGCTGGAGGCGCCTTGGGGATGGGGGAGGGTGAAGGGTGGAGGGTCAGCAGCCAGAGAGAAGGGGCCTGTTTCCTGACTCCCTGACCCCGACAGTCTCTGCGGAGGCCCCAAACCCAGCAAGGTCATCTAGGGCGAAATTCCAGCCGGAGCCCCCTGAGCAATGACTTCAGTTTTCTCGATAAGGCTGAAGAAGGGACACCGAGTGTCCACCCCACACCCCCTCTCTGTCAGCACCTCGGCTCTAGTGAGGCCTCTGTGGTAGACAGCCTGACGGGGAGAAGAGACGAAGATAGACTGGGGACAGATAAGGACAGAGACAGCCAGGGACAGAGGGAGCACAGAGGTGGAGATGGGGCAGCCGCCTGTGGGGAGCCCCAGAGGTCAGCGCCGGTCCCCGTCCCAGCATGCTAGGGGCTGGTTGATTGTGATGGCCGCAACTGGGCCGCCAGCTTGAAGGACAACCCACTGTGTGTGAGTCTGAGCCTGGTGTCCCTGTGTGTGTGACGCTGAGCCTGGTGTCCCTGTGTGTGTGACGCTGAGCCTGGTGTCCCTGTGTGTGTGACGCTGAGCCTGGTGTCCGGGTATGTATGATGATGGGGTCAGGAGAGAGTTATCTCCAGGCTCCAGGAGGCACCAGCAGAGAGGCTGAGGGAGTCAAGGCAGGGGACCATGGCCACTGCTGTTGGAGGCGAACCCACTCCCGCTCTCGGGCCTTCTGAGGTCACCTGGCCTCGCAGTGTTCCAGGCACGCTCTGGGAGAGAATATTTACACCCAACACTGTCTGTTTGGCTTGGCGAGTTGCTGGAGGCTGAAGAGTCACAGCTGGCCTGTGGGCTGCCGGGTCACCATGTGCTCTTGAGTCACAGCCCCAGGGAACAAGAGCCTGTACTCAGGGCTGCACCCACAAACATATCCACACAGGTACCCAGATGCCCTGGGCGGCTTAGTCATTATCGTTGCTTGGCGAGCACGTGCCAGCTCACATGCGTGCCCAGGTACGTACAGACGGGGTGCACCTGACCGTGAGTCATCACAGCCAGCCGACTCGGAGGAAGGGCACCAAGAGTGTGTTCTGCCAGCCCTGTTTAGATGCAAATACCCACATGGTCACATACTGATGTGTGCCCGAAATACAGCCCAGTGTACCGGCGACTCCATCCTCGGGGCCGTTAAGTGTTTGTCGCACAATGAATGGAGAGACAGATGACAAGATGGGCGACAACCCTCTGCTTGACAAAATTGGTCAGAGCAGCTCCTCGGGGTGGGTCTCAAGCTCTGTGTCTGCAGGGAGTTGCCTGACTCCAAATATAGCCGCCATGGGTGGGCAGGGAGCCAGGGCTGCCTCCCAGGCAGTGACTTCACTGGGCCCAAGTCCCAGCCTCTGAGGGCTTGGAGAAAATGAACAGAGGCTCAGCTCCCCATGGCCAGGCTTGAACTGTGGGGCTAGATTCTGCCAGTGGCACTTGCTTGGTGTCTGGGACCGCGGGGCAAGGCCAGAGAGGTGCAGGGAGGACTGCCTCTGGCAGGCACCTCCTGGGGGAGGCAGGGGCCTGCCTGCTGAGTGCATAACCCAGGCCCCCCGCTGGGCTGGCCCCACCTGGCAGGAATAGCCCTCTGGCCTGGGCTTGCTCCCAGGACACTCTTTGTTTCTGGAATCTTTTCTTCTTTATTATTTCTTTTATTTTTGAGATTATAATGTAATTACATCATTCCCCCCTTCCCTTTGCTCCCCGCGAGCCTTCCCATAGACTCCTCTCCTTCAAATTTATGGCTTCTTTCTCCCCATTAGTTGTTGTTACATACACATATATGTATGTGTGTATACATATACATTCCTAAATACAGCTTGCTCCATCGCTGTATGTTTTCAGGACGAACCGTGTGGTGTTGGATAGTCAAGCGGTGTGCTCTTCCCTGGGGAAGACGTTTCTCCATTCTCAGGGTTCCTTAGCTGCCTGCAGCTCTTTGTGTAGGGTTGAGGCCTCGGGGACATTCCCGGGTCCACTTTGGCATGTCTCTTGTTGATGTCCTCATTCAGCTCATGTTTAGACAGTCATGGGTGTAGCTTCGGACATTCCAAGGAGACACAATCTCACAGCAAATTCCCCGATCTACCGGCTCTGACCCCCCTCCTATTCCCGGAGCCTTAGACGTGAGCATGTTCTGAAAATGTATCCAGCAGGACTGGGCAGCAACCCCCGCCCCACGCTTTATTCATCCGGGCAGCTGCGGTGTCGCTTGCCCGCCCAAGTTGCTCTTCCTGCCTTTAGACCCGTCCCCTTGCTCCGTCCTGCACACAGGCAGACATTTTTCTGAGGTAAAGATCTGACTGGCTTTTCTGTCAATCCGGGCTTCTTAGTGGCGAGCAAGCAGTCAGCCACGCCCCCTGGTGTTCAGCCCGCCCTTCCTGCGTCCACCCAACCTGGGTGTTGTGAAAGACAGGTGCATTTGTAGTGTGCTGTTTTATGTCGGTTGATGCGAGGTAGAGTTATCTGAGAGAAGAGAGCCTCAGCTGATAAAATGCCTCACGCTATAGGCAAACCTGTAGGGCATCTTCTTAATTAGTGATTGATGTGGGAAGGCCCAGCCCATTGTGGTTAGGATCACCCCTGGGCTGGTGGTCCTGGGTTCTCTAAGAAAACAGGTGCAGGCCTTTAATCCCAGCACTCGGGAGGCAAAGGCAGGTGGATCTCTCTGAGTTTGAGGCCAGCCTGGTTCACAAGAGCTAGCTCCAGGATAGCCCACTCCCCCCCCCCCAAAAAAAGAAAGAAAGCAGACAGAATAAGTAAGCCATTGGGAGCAAGGCCGTAAGCAGCACCCCTCCATGGCCTCGGTGTCAGCTTCTGCCTCCAGTTCCCGCCCTGTTTGAGTTTTTCGCTTTACCTGTCTTCAAGGATGAAGAGACGGAAGTGGGAATGAGACAAACCCTTTCCTCTCCGAGCTGCTATGGCCATGGTGTTTCATAACAGGAACCCTCCCCTCACTGGACAGAAATTGGTACCAGGATTGTGGAGCACTGCCGTGACAAACCTGACCGTGTGTTTTTGGGAAGACTGTGGAAGGGCTTTGGAAAGTCATGCGTGCAAAGCCCGGTGAGCTGGTCTGCAGGAGCTTGGAGGAGACAGGAATGTTGAGAGAAATGCAGACGATGGAGGCCCGGCTTGTCAAGTTCAGAGGGAAGTCTGAGAGTCCCTTATGTTGGAGGCATACTTTATGTATATTTCGAATATTTTTAAATAAGAATCTGTGAGCCGAGTGTGGTGGCGCACTTTAACCCTAGCACCGGGAGGCAGAGGTGGGTGGATCTCTTGTGTTTGAGGTCACCCTGGTCTACAGAATGAGTTCCAGGACAGCCAGGATTACATGGAAAAACCCTGTCTTGGAAAAAAAAAATGTGGTTCTGGTCAGCTGGGAAAGAATAGGGCGTGATTAGCAAGACACCAGAGCCATTAAAGTAAAACCTTTGTGTTACAGGATAATCGGTGGTGGTCAGCTGGAGCTGAGAAATTAGCGGTGATTTAAGAAGAGACCAGCGTTGTTGATTCTGGTAAAATCTTCTGGAAGTGTTTCCTCAGGCCAGCACACAGAAGCTGTGTTCCAGAGGTGGCCGAGGTTATACCTAACGCTGGTAGACGAACTTGGGGCTACTGGTTTTGAAGGCCTGAAGGAGAGCAGCTGAGGCTTGGCACTGTGAGAGGCCAGGGAGGCAAGGGCCGGTTGTGCCGGCTAGTTTATGTTATCTTGTTTCAAGCTGGAGTCTTCTGAGAGGAGGGAGCCGCAGTTGAGAAAATACTTCCATAAGATCGGGTTATCAGCAAGACTGCAGGGCATCTTCTTAAGTAGTGATTGATGGGGGATGGTGCAGCCCATGGTGGGTGGGGCCATCCTTGAGCTGGTGGTCCTGGGTTCTATAAGAAAGCAGACTGAGCACACCATGAGGAGTAAGCCAGTAAGCAGCCCCCCCTCCATGGCCTCTGCATGAGCTTGGGCCTCCAGGAGCCTGCCCTGCTTTCCATGATGGATTGTGATGGACCAGGGAGTGATGGACGGGTTCTTTCCCGGTGTCTCACCACAGCAATGGCACCCTTGACAAGACAGCTCGGGAGAGGATCACACAGGCCGGTGGGTGCCCGGCTGGCTCCCATGGGCTGTCGATTGTAAACAGAGGGTTGGACGTATGGGTGAAGGGAGGGCAGAAGGATCGAGAGGTTAAGTAGGTAGACAGGTGGAAAGTAGCTGTTTAACTCAAGACAGCTTTCAGTGCAGGGAATCAAAGGACCAGGAAGGAAAGGGACCACCTGGGAACACGCGGGCTGGTCTGCCGGGGGCGGCATGCAAGGTTTATGACGATGAGGACGAGGGAGGTCAGGACCTTTGAGCCCCTCAGGTTTCCCCGTGGCTTCCTCCCCTAGAGACCTTCCGCCCAGCTGTCCTGTGACATCATAGCCGGCCTTTTGGCCACTCTTGCCCATTCCTCCCTCAGGTTTGTACCCCTGCTCAACCCCACTTTCATCAGATAAGGTTTCATGTAGCCCAGGCAGGCCTGAACTCGGCTGTATAGCTGAGGTTGGCCTCGAACTCTTAACCTTTCTGTCACTACCTTGTAAGTCTGGAATCAGCACCAGCACCACGCTCTGCCATGCCAGGCCACAAAGTCCCTATATTCTGAATAATGCCCAGCAGATCAAACAAAGCATCTTTCTTTTAAAAAGAGGCTTCTCTTTTCGAGATAGAGGCTCTCTCTGTGTCGCTCAAGCTGGCCTTGGACCCCCAAGTCTGGGTACTAGAAACAGGCCTTTTCTCCCCTCTCTTCGCTTCGCTTTTCGAGACGGGGTTTCTCCTCTGTAGCTTTGGAGCCTGTCCTGGAACTCACTCTCTTGACCAGGCTGGCCTCGAACTCACAGAGATCCGCCTGCCTCTGCCTCCCTAGTGTTGGGATTAAAGGCGTGCCCAGTATGAAATTGTAAAAGTCTGATGACCTTAAAGGGAGGAGACTTTAGTTTGGGACCGGGTGCGCATGCGCACTACGCGTAGGTGCGGTTCTTGGACAGCCAGGAGGGCTATTGAGAAGACCCAAGCCCAGAAGCGTCCCAGGTCACTGTCCCAGTCACTGACCCTCCCCATGCTTGGTTCGTACCTCACTTTTTTTTTTTTTGATACCTCCCTTTACTTTGACTCCGAAACAGGAAGACAGGTGAAGGTGGCAGGTAGGAATGACGTGATCTGAAGCCCGGCCTGCACCCAGCTGCTGGGAAACTTTGCTGCGGGGGAGAGGCTTGGCTTAGGGTGCGTTTTGATCGACTTCCCGATGAGACTCTGGTATGAAAAAAGGCAAATTCAATCCAAGGGTGCTCCTAAGACTGACAGGAAACCCGAGTCTCCGTGTCTAAAGAGCTGGGGATTTCCTCTGCGGCTCAGTACTTACTTTCAGTCACTTCAGGCTAGGGCATCGCTGGACGCTTGAGTCTGGGCTCGGGAGAGGCCCGAGCTGCACCTCAGTCACTGGGGTCTGAGGGGTGGCCCTGGGCGGCTCCTGGGAAGAATGGACGCTGAAGGACACCGGGGCGTCGGCAGTGAGGCTGGAGAGAAACTTGGAGAGCACCATAGAGAGACGTTAGTGTTTGAAGCTCCTTAGGTCAGGCAGGACAGGGACAGAGATGGCGTGGAATAAAGGCCTCAGTGCTGTGGTTCACAGGCTCTTGTCAGGGACGGACCTGCAGCCTCTGGGCTCGGGGTGCCAGCTAGCAGACTCCTAGCTCATGTGCTCAGCAGGCCCGCGGGGTAGAGATGGCGCTGACTTAAGGCACCACTAGAGACTCCCATCTTAACCCCTGACCTCAGAGTTGAGAGGGCCCGGAAGGAGCGAGGGAACAGGACCTGAGCTGTGGGGACATGAAGACCAGCCCGAGCAGGGCCTCTGCCAACTCAGTGCCTTTGCGGGGTTAGAGACAGTCCCTCTGAGCCCCTGGCGTCTACCGTACCTTGGAGACACCCCTGGTTGGCAGGAAGCTGCCCCACTTTCTTTAACCTTGTGATCTACATTGGCATTTCTTGGGCCAGGTGGGGTTGGGCGTGGCCCAGAGCTGCTCCCATCCTTTGGGTGACCAGGGGTTGTGTGTTCCTTTAGCTCAGCCACTGCAGAGTGGCCTCGGCAAGTCCTTTTGCCAGCTCAGGTAGTGTCGACCTGTGGCCGGCCATACTAGTAGCCGGGAAACAAAGGCCGCTTTCTAGGCCCGCCTAGTCTCGTGGAAATCCCCCAGGTAGCTCTTCACACCCGGCCGGCTCCCTTGCCGCTTGCCTCCCTCCCTCCGTTCTATAGCCTGGCTTCCAGCCACCCCATACCGCCGATGACAACAAAGTCACTGGAGACTCCCAGGACACCAGATCCTCCCACCACAGCTTGCTTGCTTTTTTAATTATTCTGATCTGGGCATCAAGCCCATGGCCCTGTTCCTCCTCGGCAAGGGCTCTCCATTGGCCTCTCCTCTCAGCCCTGCTCTCTCTCTTGTTCCCTCGAGTCTGCATTTCCCCTTGTGGTCCAGCCTTCCCTTAGGAGCTTTCCTTCTCTTCTTAAGCTCTCTACTCCTTCTGTCGCCCCCACCCCCCACGCTGGCTCAGTGTCCACCACGTGGCCTAATACCCTGGTGTGCTTACAGCTGGGGACTCACTCACGGTCCTGCCCCAGGACAGTTTTCACCTCACTTTTCTGACCCTACGCTCTTCTGAGGGTCTCTGGAAAGCTCAATCTTCTCCTCCTGGTGCCTTGGGTTTCTGAGATTTTGCTGTGCCCCTCCCCCAGCCTAAGCCCTGGTCATCCCCCAGTGCCCAGCAGCTCAGCGAGAGGGGCCGCCACACAGCCAACTGTTTGGCTTGGGAAACTGAGAAGGTCGTTTTGAGAATGGCTGTCACTCACTCCCCAAGACCAGCCCTCTACTGATTTCTGCCCAGCTTTACCCCTAACCACCTCTGCACAGCTCTCTGTGCCGTCCCACCTGAGAACAAACCATGTCTCCCCTCAGCACCGCAGCCTCTGAGTTGAGCTCACCTTGCTGCTGCCGGGACTACAGCCTGGTACCCGGCCTGGTTTATGTGGGGCTGGGGGAAGAACCAGGGCTTTGTGTAGGCACTACCAACACTCACCAGCTGATCCCCAGCACAAGTGAGCTTCACAAGTGGTGTTTGGGGGGCCCCTCCAATCTTGTATTCTGTCGCCATTCTGGGCTAGGCTGCGCTGGAGATCAGGGGTTGATGGCCCAGAGGAGTGAGGCCTGCTTTGGACAGAGCTCCAGGATGAGGCCCAGTCTCAGGCCGAGCCCTCTGCGTGGCAGGAACCTGCATGTGGTGGGGAGACTTGCTAGACATGCAGAGATCCACAGGCCTCCCGGGGACCTGGAAGAGGTTCTGAAATTTACAGGATCAAGTTTCAGAAAACACAGGTCAGGGGCAGCAGAGCAGCTGGCAGTGGGGAAGGCCAGGCCCAGCTAATTTCCTGTCAGCAAGGCCCAGAGGCCCCAGCCCCTCTCTGGGCTGGCCACAGGGGAGGAGATGCCGGGAATGGCTCACATTCCTCTGGCTGGGGCTGGACTGAATCTGGAACCTCAGGGGACTTTGGGGAATGAGGAGATGGATCTGCTGTGGCTAGAGTGGGGGGCTGACCAGGCATCTGTTGTTGAAGCCTCGGCTGCCTGAGGCCAAGGCCTGCAGAGTCGAAGCCGGAAGCCAGAAGATATTGAGGCTACAGGAGCCTGGGGAGAAGGGAGCCTGGCCCACACAGGGCCGCAAGACGCCACCTCCTGAGCTCGGAGCAAGTTCATTTGTCCCTTGCCCACGCCTGGATTTCCTAGAAGGCTCAGCTACGGTTGGGCTTTGTGGCCACAGGGGTCAGGCTGCACCCGGCTTCTCTTGGAAGGGCGTCAGGGGCCTCACATGCAGAAAGGCTGCTGTGCTTCTTCAGTGCCCTGGTTGTGTGTGGTAGAGGATGTGAGGGGCTAAGTCAGCTGGGCGCCCCTGTGTTCCACTACAAGGCTCAAGTTCCCTCCTACAGAAGGAATTTCATGTCTTGTCTGGTCTTCAGGAGTTGACGCCTAGCTTTGGACAGCTGTCCAAGTAGCCTGGCCAGGCAGGGGTCACAGTCATCACCCCCCCCCCCCAGCTGGGAAAAGGGCACACAGATACAATTAGACAGTTCTGGGCTTAAATCCTAGCTCCATTAGGCCCTGATGTGTGACCTTAGGCAACGTCATTTAACCCGGAAAAGTCTCTGGCTTCCTGATATGCATGTGTCCTGTCAGGGCCTGGTTTCTCCCTGCTTGGCCAGCTCTCCCCTCCCATGGCCATTCTTTGGTACCCGGTAATCCATTCTGTTCCACCACACAGGGCCCAGTCCCTGCAGGTGCCTCCTCCAGCTGTCTGAGTTCTGAGCCCGCCCATCCCCTGGGCCTCCTCAAGCTCGGACAGCCTCAACAGCTCCCAGCCTGCCTGCCCTGAACATGCCTCGCCCTGGAGCGCACACCGGCTTGGCTTCTTTCCCTTACCTTTGCCCACTTCACCTTTGCTCAGCCACTGCATCCGAGAGTCGACATAAAAGCTGCTGCTCAGAGAGTCTCTGCACTCATGGTGGCCTTTCTGCTGGCTCCTGCCGGCCGTCACCTGAGTAACTCTGGCTGCCCTGGACACAATATTTGCAGACTTTATTTATGGCCCAGAGTCTCTGAACAGGTATCAACACGAGCATCAACGGGTGCATGTTGAATGAGGGGTTTGGTATGACCAGTTCATTCAGAGTAGGTGCCGTCCTATGCTTGGGGTGGGGGAGGAGGCTGAGGACCACATCCTGGGGTCCTGGAGGAGGGATGTGTTTTCTACCTCTCCCTGGTAAAGGCTCCCAGTCCCCTTGTCTAGGGCCAAGCTAGTGATGGCCATGGAAGGCAGCCCCTTCCCCAAATCAACTAACTCAGCTAGTGATGGCAAGAGGTCACCACAATCAGGTGGAGCCCAATGTCTGCAAGGCTGTAAGAGTTAACGTTATCAGGGTAGTGTGTGTGTGTGTGTGTGTGTGTGTGTGTGTGTGTCTGTGTGTGTGCGCGCATGCGTGTGCATGTGGTCAGTGCCTTTTACAGTACTGCTTATGTGTGCACACAATGTCACTTTCACGTCTACGTCATCGCCTCCTCCCCAGGCAGCAGGCCCACACTCCCTGAGGTATCTCTGCCCCATGTCTCATTCTTTTTGTCTTTTTGAGACTAGCGTTTCTCTGCATAGCCCTGGCTGTCCTGGAATTCACTCTGTAGACCAGGCTGGCCTCAGACTCACAGGGATCCTTCTGCTTGTGCCTCCCGAGTGCTGGGATTAAAGGCGTGCGCCACCACCGCCCGGCCCACATCGCCTTATCTCTATACCATCCTTACCCAGATTCCTCATCCAGGGCTCCTGCCCTCTCCACATCCACTTCCCCTGTCTGATGCTGCGCTAGTAACTTCATGATGCGGTGGCAAACTCATTCTTGTAGACCAGGCTAGTCTTGAACTCAGAGAGTTGCTGGCCTCTGCCTCCCAAGTGCTGGGATTAAAGGCGTGCACCATCAATCACTACCTGGCCTACAGTATGAGTTTCTGGAGTTCTGAACTGTAGATTCTTGAGCAGAGCTGGGGACCAGTAGGTCCTAATGTCACTATGCAGTGGGCTATAAAGCCCATGGAGCCCATACTTTGAGACCCTATTTGGTACAGAGTTTACACACACAGACAGCCCTAGGCTTGGGGGATTTGTTCTGTTAAATGGACCCTAAGTAGAGACTAGTGTAAGATGAAGATGTGCCAACTGCCAAACCCACTGGGCATCCTTGCTTAGTAGCCCAGTGCACAGTAGAGTGTCCCGTTGGGGATGGGTGCTAACTGGGGACCTCAGCTTCCTGTGGCTGCCCAGCAGCTTGCCAGAGAGGGCAAGCCTGAGGTGACCTATCTCTCCAGGGCCCACCATAGCCCTAAGTGGCCTGATACCACTAGTAACTGAATGCTGACCAGGTGACAAGCAGACAGCACACTGGCTTTGGTGCCTGACCCACTGAAGGAGGTTCCATCCTATAGTTCAGCTCCAGAGGGGGCTCTGATATGCCCACATGCCATTAACCTGGGAAAAGATGTCAGGTCAGAATCTGAGCTGTGCTTGCTCCTCAATTTGTATTGCTTCTGCATCAATGTAAACTTAAAAAAAAGTCAGTTAAACCACTGTTGAGAGAGAATCTGCTCTACAGACCAGACTGACCTCTCCACCCCACCTGCTTCTGCCTCCCAAATGCTGGGATTAAATGTATATGTCACTGCTGCCTGGCTTAAAATACCATTTTTTATTGCATTTACTTTGTGTGTGTGTGTGTGTGTGTGTGTGTTACATGAATGCCCGTGTCCACCGCACACACGTGGAGGTCAGAGAAACGTGTGAAGAGGTGGTTCTTTCCTTCCATGCTGTGCGTCCAAGGGATTGCATTGGGGCCTCTGGCTTGGTGATAGGTTCCTTTATCCACGGAGCCAGGCCATCTTCTCCGTCTTCATTCCTCACTTCTAGGTGAAGTAAATGAGGCTGAGAGAAGTGTGTGTGTGTGTGGGGGGGGGGATGGCTGCTCACGGCTAGGAGCTTCTGAGTACACCAATGGCAGGTAGAAAATGCTGGCACTTTTTTCCTCTGGGCAGAGAGCTCAGGGGAGCTGAATCTCTAGATCACTGGTGCCTCGGAGCACAGCTCTCAGAGAAGGATGCCACGAGGTCCATTGCTGTGACCCCAGGGCCCCTGACCAATGGTGTGGCTCCTCCAAGGTCTGTCACTGTGGCTATGGGCTGCTGTTGACATCCATTTTTGGGAGATGCAGAGCTCTTAACAGTTTTAAGATGATTTTTTTTTTTTGTTTTTGAGACAGGGTCTTATGTTGACAGTCTAGGTTGACCTCAAACTTCCTACGTAACTGAGGATGACCTTGAACCTCTGATTCTCCTGATTCCACTTCTTTTGGGTATATACCCAAAAGGATGCTCAATCGTGCCACAGGGACATGTGCTCAACTATGTTCATAGCAGCTTTGTTTGTCATAGCCAGAACCTGGAAACAACATAAATGCCCCTCGATTGAAGAATGGATAAGGAAAATGTGGTACATTTACACAATGAAGTACTACACAGCAGAAAAAAATAACGACAGCTTGAATTTTGCAGGAAAATGGATGGAACTAGAAAACATTATTTTGAGTGAGGTAATCCAGACACAGAAAGACAATTATCACATGTACTCACTCATAGGTGGTTTTTAAACATAAAGCAAAGAAAGCCAGTTTACAAACCACAATCCCAGAGAACTTAGACAACAGTGAGGATACTAAGAGAGACTTACATAGATCTAATCTACATGGGAAGTAGAAAATAGAAAAAGAAAGATCTCCTGAGTAAATTGGGAGCATGAGGACCTTGGGGGAGAGTTGAAGGGGAGGAGAGACGCGGGGGGGGGGGGACCAGAGAAAAATGTAGAGCTCAATAAATATCAATAAAAATGTATAAAAAATAAAAAAGAGTTGCCATGGATATGGCATCTCTGCACAGCAATAAATTCTCTAAGACATTGTGCTTGGCAGCTGTGCAGATGTGAGATGGTCCATAGCACAGACTGATAGAGATCCTTATTAACATCAGGTTCTAGGATGGTCACAGGAGCGGTTGGCAAACACGACCTTTCCTCTCCAATTAGAAAACAGCCTTGGGCCCTTTCCTCTCCAATTAGAAAACAGCCTTGGGCCTGGCAGTGGTGGTGCACGCCTTTAATCCCAGCACTTGGGAGGCAGAAGTAGGTGGATCTCTCTGAGTCTGAGGTCAGCCTGGTCTACAGAGTGAGTTCCAGGACAGTTAGAGTTGTTATACAGAGAAACCCTGTCTCAAAAAAAAAAAAAAAAAACCAACAACAACAATAACAAAAACCGGTTGTATCCACTTTCTGCTTCTTGTCCAAAGGCCAGGACCATCTTGATGTGGGATGTCCTTCTGTATATGTGTTGCTTTTATTGGTTGGTTGAATAAAGCTGTTTTGGCCAATGGCTTAGCTGAGTAAAGCCAGGTAGGAAATCTGAAAGACATATGTAGAGTAGGTGGAGTCAAGCAGATGCCAGTGAGGGAACAAGAATGTAGAAAATGAGGTAACGCCATGGCTATGTGGCAATACATAGACTAATATAAATGGGTTAATTTAAGATGTAAGAGTTAGTTAGGAATATGCCTGAGCCATCGGCCAAACAGTGTTGTAACTAATATAGTTTCTGTGTGGGTAGCCAGGAAATGAAAGTGCAATCTCCCTTTACAAATGGCATTCAAATGTTTGGCAAGAATTTCTACATAAAGCCTGACAAAGCTTTAAAAATAAAAAGGATTAGCTAGGCGATGGTGGCACACGCTTTTAATCCCAGCACTCGGGAGGCAGAGGCAGGCGGATCTCTGTGAGTTCGAGGCCAGCCTGGTCTACAAGAGCTAGTTCCAGGACAGGAACCAAAAGCTACAGAGAAACCCTGTTTCTAAAAA